CCGGTTGCACCCGCAGCGCCCTCAGCGAGGCCTCCCCCCCCCCTCGTTAGTGCCCGGTAGCCTCACGGAAGGGAAGAGCAGGCAGATGGATAGGGGGTCACACGGTCAGACAGCCTGAAATAGAAAAGATTTTTTTTCGGGTTGGAAGTGGAATCGTACCTTTGTGTGTTTGACAGGTGGCCGGCAGGCGGGTTTGTGTCTCTTACAAATAGCCTGGCTGTGATGGGAGAGTTAAAGGAAATAACACATACGTATCGGCTTTTAAATGAAGTGTAGCAACAGACTTTTATAACTGAGGGCCTCATTCAAATGCAGGAGTTAAAAGTGGCTTAAAAAAAAAAAAAAAGATACAGAAACCAAAGCTTGAGGCCCATCATCTGAACAAGGTAGTATTTGACATTCTAGGTAGGTTACTGAATATCCTTAGTTTTCTCTCTTCATTTTGTGCCTGACAGAAACACACATCTCTTCAGAACCAAACTGCTTCGTATGGTGCTCCTAAGTAGCAGGTGGTGGAGGACAAGCAGAAGGTAGAATTCGTCATATTTGTACCCTCAAAGTGTATAAATTCACATTGTGCGACTACAAATATTTCCCAAAATAATGCAATTACTGTTTTGCCTTGAAGCAGACTACATTATATGGCTACTAATTGCAAGAACAGAGGGATGCTGTGCATCCTGTTTGCACTGGTCTGAAGCAGAGGGCTAAATGTAGTATTTGTGTGGCATCTCATAGCTGAACCATCTTTAGTCTATTTCTAGTGTATTTCCTCGGATGTCATACTTAAGAAATCAGTATCTCATCACTGCTTTTAGACAACTGCACCTCCTTAGGCAGCCTACGTGTGTCTATGTATGCCAATAAAACAAGTTATCTACCCTTGCAAAGAGTTATAATCATTTTTAAATAACATCTTGTACTTTATGATAAAATCAGATATCTGTGAGAAGGTTAAAAATGATCCTTTCTTCTTCATCTATTCCGTTAGCAAATTAGGGTGCCTCTGCCTTGGCACTTCAGGAGATCCAATGTGCCCTTCAAAAGCTGATCTGCCAAACTCCCCCCCCTCCTTGGACCACATCACAGCGGGGTCTCACAACGCATCAAATGGGTTTCTTTCCCAAATGAAACTACCAGGCTGCTCCAGGGCTGCAGGACACAAGACCAAACTACAGCTGCTAGCCCAAAGTTAAAATCTTGAAGCATCCAGGTATTGGGTTTTCAGCACCAAATGTTTTGCTGCACTTGCTGTACCACGCTACTTGCCAGGGAAAACACAATAGTCTCCTCCTTTTTCATCTCCAATCTTGTTTTGCATAAGAATCTATTCTACATTATATTGGTTTTACAAAGGCTTAATCTGCAATAGCACTCAATATGTAGCACTCGACATAAGTGGAAGTACCAACTACTGGTTAGCACATGATGGTTATTTGTTGCTCAACAGAGGGAACACGGGCAAAAATCATCATAATTGCAGTTTTTGGTGATTTTTAGAGGGGTGGAACCAAGCCTCAGATTCTAGTCTCATTTTTAGAGTGCAAATTCAGTGGTCTTTGCTGAATATAAAAGTATACAGACTTAAATTGATCAGTAAGCAAAAAACCCCAACCCACTGGGGGGATGCAGAATTCAAGAGGGAAATCTGAAAGTCTGAATTTACTTGTCTGGATTACAGCCTCTGATTTCTGAGCTGCACTTGTAAATCTGTCCCATGTAGCTTAATTTTCCTTTTCGCGTACCCTCTTATCTCTCAAAGCTAACAAAGAAAGCTTTTAAGTACGGTACTAATTAAACAGATTAGGCTTGCCTAGTTATAGGCAAATCCAAAGGGACATGAAAAATCTAAACATGGAAGTGGTTTTAGATAAGACCAGAATGACAGGTTTGAAAAAGGATCTAAGAGCTACTAACTGAGACTCCTTCACAAATTCTGGTTTGTGTTTTGTTTTTAAATTCCATATCCATTCAGAATTACTTCTGTAGGTATGACCAGATAACACCGTTTCTGCAAACACTACTTAGCTCTGTAAACCAGTGCTTCTCATAGATTCTATTTTTTCCTTACATAGCGACTCAGTACTACTCATTAAATTAGAATTAGTGCAAAATGCTGGCGAAATACTGCATACCCTTAAGGTACAGAGAAATCTCAGCAAGTCAGATACTTCTACCTTATTCTCCCAAAGTAGGGTGTGACTCCCATGAAAGAAACAGAAGCGATGCAGAATGAGAAAGCACACTTTCCCTCTACTCTTGCTCAAGCAGCTAATTGCAGAAATAATTTTAACAGCCACTGCTGTGTACGTAGTGCCCGGGCTGATAGCAGCAAAAGCAGAAACAGCAGCTTCTTTGTGTTTTACTGAAATTCTCCCCCACTGAAGGGGCAAGGGGTCAGTGATTGCATAGTCTTTGCTCCATTGCACACCCTCGGCTATTGTTGAGTCCGCTCAGAGAGCAACAGACTGAATGTGCTGCGCAGCCTTGTAACCAGGTCTTCATTTTTAGTATTGCTTCAATTAAGATTCTCAATAAATGCAAAGCACCTGTTCATTTGGGTCAGTGTATAGAACATGTTGGGTAACAGCTATGAAGTCCTGCGGCAGAAGTACGTAACTAACACCGGTACCTCTTGAAATATGATCATCTTTGTTACAATCTCCTAATCCCTGTAAAGGGATTTGCATGGTACAGGAAGATTTACAATGTAATGGATTACTATTTCATAATCCGGGCCAAGGGGAAGAAACTTCAAATATTTACAATTTTTTACTGCATTTCAAACTTTTTTCCAGATCTAGAAATGCAACACTGGGAAGGCTGTTAGAGGGTGTTCACACACAAAATATGGTATCAACATATCGCCTGTGGGCTTTGTTTCATCTGGATTTCCAAGCATGTGCAACTTTATTCTCTACCTGCGTCACTCTCTTGTGACCACAGCGCTTGTCATTATTCAAAAGCAAAGGAAGTATGTTAATAGAAATCGTGTAGGAAACAAATGCAACATTTTTGAGCAAACTCTTATTAAATGGCTATGACTTTACCCTGTATAAAATATGTTTGAAAAAAGACAGAAAAAACATTTTAAAAAATTATTATAGGAAAGCAAGTTACTACTTAGTCATTCACGTTGTCAGTTACATTTTTTCGATTTTAACCACTCAGGGTCTCCAACAGAACAGACAACTGTGCAGAACCATAAAGTTCAAGACTGAAGATGATTTTTCAAGAGCATTTTCTAGCTAGAAAGTGCAAACCGTCTGAAATTTTACACTGCGCTCCTTGGATACTGAACCCAGCCTGCTGCACACAAGTGCCAAGAATGACACTCCCAAAAGCAAAGAGTACGATCATAAATATTCTCTTACGCTCAGTCCTCCCATCCCAGTTTGTTGCATTTTTTTAATAAATTAATGGTGCAAACCTCTTTGTAGCAAGCAGTCTAAAAGCAGGCAGTGGCTTTTTCATTAAGCCTTTAAGATGTGTAGCGATGAGGAGGTTCTTACAAAGCTGTCGCTTTCCAGCCTCGCGCAGCAATGAAAAGTGTAGCTGCAGCACTGGTAGGTGCGACAGGAGGAGGTGCAGAAACCTCACGTTTTGCAGAGGGGCATCACTGCAAGTAAAACATCGTTAATGCCAGCAACCTCCTTACACCTTTATTACCCTCTGAAAGGTGAACTTAGTTTCCGTTAAAATAATTAAGAGCTTGGAAAGATTTAAATGAAACACATCTCAGAAAATTTGGGTGCCAGTGAGATAGCGAGGGAACAAGCTGTAGTCAAAAAATTTTTTTTATTCCTATAAACAGGAAAAATGAACGATATTGAAAGCAGAATTGCTAATCTGTATTTACATGCTCAGTCAGTTTAAAAGTTTCATTAAATGATGTCCATATTCTCCTTAATATAATTCTGAACTAAGATAACAGACGGAGATATTTTTCATCTGGGCAAAGCCCAGGGGACCCTGTGTAGGGCTCACCCTGAAGGCAGGGTTAGATTTAAGCTTGAGAGAGAAAGTAAGCCTGGATCTGCAGCTGAACTGGGGCTGGAAGGGGCTGCCGAAGGGAAGCGTGGGCTGCAAAACAGAATTCTTTCATCTGGGCAGGGGGAGGTTTTGGTTTTCTGGTATTTTCTTTTTTTGGGGTGGGGGGGTCATTTGGGGATTTGTTGTGGTTTTTTTTCTTTTGTTTTTAACAAAAGCTGACCCTGGAACTAGGGTTAAGGTTATGTTACAATGTATGGGACTCAGTGTGTTACACAGATAATTTTCAGTCCCCTCCATTCTTTCTCTATTTTCTCTGCTTTAACATTAAAGCAGCATTTCTCAACCTGTCAGAAAGGCAAAGGAAATACAAATATCACATTCTCC